GTTTTGCATTTGCATATTATTTTCAATTTTCTGAATAATTTCACATACATTACCTCATCAAGATCCCACAGGAGTCATTTGTTTTCTCTCTCCTATGAGCATGTTCTATTTGCTGATGTACCTATTTTCCACTATAAGTTTCAGCCTCTGTTCCTCATGGAAAAAAAGGAATACAACAAATAAAACCTGTATAGTAGTCTCATAACATATAAGCACCAGGAAATTCTTGTTACAACAGGGGAGGATTATTAGCCCTACGTCAAACTATCAGTCCAATTATTAGAAATTATATGTATAATGATTGCATAATTTTAATGGATTTAAATTTAATATTACAAATGAATTATAGAATTTGGATTTACAGTTATGATCTCTTCGTGAAAATGTTGGATTGGATTTGGTATTTCCTGCAGGGCTTATGTACCCATTACTTCTCTAGGGGAGCAAAGGCATCATACACAATCAGATTTAATAATCCATGATAGGTAAGCACCTAAATAGTATTAAAATATGTTGTGCAGCAGTTTTTAACAAATGGCCTGGAAATAATAATTGCCCTTTGAACTCCTCAAAAAATTATATCCTCCTCAAAATGAATTGGTTCTAAGGACACTGAATTTAGCTTTTTTTTTTTAGGTTTTGGGGTGCATGTGAAGAACATGCAAGATTGTTGCATAGGTACACACATGGCAGTGTGATGTGCTGCCTTCCTCCCCATCACCTATATCTGGTATTTCTCCCCATGCTTTCTCTCCCCAACTCCCCACCCCCCGCTGCCCCTCCCCTATTTCTCCCCGACAGACCCCAGTGTGTGATGCTCCCCTCCCTGTGTCCATGTGTTAAATTTAGAAACTCAATAGCCAAAGTCCACAGTTTCTTGGAGGCTGAAGATTGTGCTTCTCTGGATGGCAGGGTCGTCTCATGGGAAGGATCCCATGAAACTTAGGCTGAATTAATCACCTTCTTTCTGCAATACAAATAAGCAAGAAGGTTTTCACTTTCTATAGCCGCGAAGCATATCAACGATGCCTCAAGGTTGAAAATAATGAATACTGATTATAATAGTCAAGAATAACCCAAAAATTAAGGGAAGATTTCAAAAGGTAACTAATCCTATGGTCAATATCCTTCTAATATGTTAACTTGAAGAGAAGAGAGAAAAAATAACTTGAGTAAACCCTAGAGATGATTGCAAATGAGGAGATTACACACTCAAGACTAGAAAGTCAAAAACGGAGAAACTGCAGATGGATCTTGAGAGTTTAAGATATAAGAGAAAATCAAGTGAATAAGATTTAATTTAGATAGACAAAATGCCTTTATAAGAAGTATAATGCCAACGGGATTTATAAATCAAGTGAATACCAATTAGAAGGCAGAATAAAAGACAAGAACCACAGACAAGTGAAGTTTTAATGTCAGAGGATATAACTAAAGATTTATATTTGGGTCAAATTTCATTCTTTTGGAATAACAGGGTACATTATTTTGTAAGTAGGTTTTTATTGTTTATATCAAAAGTGAAATATTCATGTTTGAAAGGTGGGGGGAGTATAGTAACCCAATATGTTCACCCAAGATCTAGAATAATTCAGTTTAGCTAATAAACATGCATAAAAGGCTTATTAGCCAGGCACAGTGGCTCACGCCTGTAATTCCAGCACTTTGGAAGGCCAAGGCAGGTGGATCGCTTGTGGTCAGTAGTTCCAGACCAGTCTGGCCAACATGGTGAAACCCCCTCTCTACTAAAACTACAAAAAATTAGCTGAGCATGGTGGCTTATGCCTGTAATCCCAGCAACTCAAGAGGCTGAGGCCAGGAGAATTGCTTGAACCTTGGAGATTGAGGTTGCAGTGAGCCAAGACTGTGCCACTGCACTCCAGCCTAGGTCACAGACTGGGACTCTGTTTCAAAAAAAAAAAAAAAGGCATATTATATTCGGGGTACAGGGGCAGAAATTGGGCTAGATACTAGAGGTTAAAAGGTGAATAAAATATGGTGGTCACCACCTTTCATAAGTTTATAGTCTACTGAGGGAAACTTTACGTAATTAGGTAATCTCAGTATATTATCATAAATGTTAAGTAAATTATATATGTTTAAGTGACTTCGGAGTTCAGAGGAGGTTATAAGATGTAGCAACAGTGATTATAAAAGTTAGATTGACTTACTTGAATCACATATACCTTGTAAAACTTTTCAAGGGTATTCACCATTCAGGCTTTATGGAATGAATATTTGTTGAAATAAACTAAAAACAAACAACAAACATAGAACTGTAAAAGCAATGTAACCAGTGACTAACCGCTGACACAAGTGTGACTAGGAGTAGACAACATATTTCGCAGATTGTTTTCTCTTGTATTAGTACAAAATCTTTTGTAAATTGCAAGGCACATATACATATAAAGTCACAATTGAAGGAGATTCCTCAGTTTGTCTCTTCAAATGTAAATTTGGGACTTCTGCATGTGACCAAGACAGAATAACCAGGACCAGATTTACCCTTGACCGAAAACAACCTAAAAACGAAACAGATATGTGAAATAATGGTTTTCAAGGCACTAGACCTCAGGCAGTGAGGGACCGTGATCCATGAGAGGCTGCAAACACACAATAAGCACAGTAGCTGCTCCACGTACTGTCTTGATAGAGTTTCTTGGCTAAGCAGGAGACCCAGGAGGAACCGGGTGATCTCCCTGAGTTATGGAGAACATGTTAGGCACATTCATTATGGTTACTGTTCCCTCCCACTCCTAGAGCCATAAGCAAGCAACATACGAGCAACCTGAGCTGAGCTGAGGCTCCCCAGAAGAACAGAGTCCAGCTGTGAACAGCAGCTTCAACCCACACAGAAGAGTTTCAGCCTGTCTTTCCAAATGACCTGCTCCCACAATTGGACAAATGAGTTCCTTGCAATAAATCTCTTAATCTATATCACCTATTGCTTTTGCATCTCTGGTTGGACAGACTGATATGTATAGAACACTCATAAATAAATTAATTTATTTAGGACACAGATTTCCCAACCTGCCCATCTCACACCAGTCTCTCTAGGCAGAATCAATGCCTCTTTCCTATGCCTCTCCATGTTCTTCATACATTGTCCAATTGTCCATTGAGCATAGAACACATATTCTATTATACATGCTGTCGGTTCCCATATCCCTCTTCCCTATTTGATTGTGAGGTTTTTTTTAATATTATTCATCCTTTCTCTGCTAGTACCTAACAAATTATTGTTGAAAATCTATTGATTAATTAGCACTAATTTATGTATTAAGTAAGTGACTCAATGCATTTGTCAAACAGGTTTGTCTTGTCTCCCAGGAGAGTGGGCTTTTACTTTTTACACCAACAACTATCTTTGCATATAGGCTGTGAGATTATTCTTCTTTCCCACTTGTGACAATCACAATCTACATTTTAAAAGATGACTCGAAATTCAAATCACCTATACTGCCAGCTACAGTTACTTAACAATTTTAAGTTAAAGCACATGGAGTTCTCAAGACACTTCCCTTGGCATTCATTCCATAAATACGTACAATACAACACAACACATTGCCAAGGGCTTGCTATAATATAAATTCTTGAACATTCCTGTATGACTGCAGGTCACTCTGTGGTTCGGATTTTTCTAATGGCCACCTTTGTCATTGAACTATTCACAGCAATGCAACTTGAAGTTTTCAAAACCATTTAAACATCAGTTGTGAAAACTGGGAGTATCTTAAGAGGCATTTTATACCATCAAATAAACATGTTTCCTAGGAGATGTTTTTTTTAACCTTTTGAAGATGGCAAGTGAGACACAGTACAGTAACAACGTTTAACCTAAACAGCCTCTTTTCATTGCTGAAATTGTGATTGTTCATCAGTAAATGTTTGTCCTCCTTAGACCAATCACCGCTTGACTATTCCAGCTTGTTTACTGATTTAAACTAGAATACTTTTGACATAAGCCATAGAAGATCTTCCTTGCCAATTAATACTGTAGAGTACCAGGAGGGAAATTTTATTTGTAATGGATTTGTCTTTCTGTGCCTCTTCTTATGAACAAATAATGAGGAAAATCTGGGTCTTTAATGCATGACCTTTGTGGCATTACAAAACAAAACAGTAGCAATGAAAGCCTTTCATATTTTATTTCCATTTGTCTTTCACGCAGGCCCATTTCTTCCCGTGTGTGTGTGTGTGTGTGTGTGTGTGTGTGTGTGTGTGTGTGGTTTTTGTGGTGTTTGCTGGACTGAGACACTTTCACAAATTCTCTGAGGTAAATAGCCACATGGAAATCAATAGGAATTTTCTTCGTTGTATATCGAAAAGTAAAAATCCAGCACAGTATATTTCTTGCAGAGCTTATCTAAGAAATGTTGGTCGAATCTCTCTTTGTCATCAGTGTCACATCTGAAAATCTCTACATTACTGTAATTGCCTTAACAGTGCTTAACATCAAAAATATCCAAAGAGCAGTAAGCACTGAGCATCTCAGAAGGACATCCACACAGATTGTGTTACATTTTATCATTGCAGTTTGCTCTGTGGCCTTTCAAAATAGTTTACAATTTCATTTTTTTAAACTTGTCCTAGCACATTATTAGAAAATGCTGTCATTTTCACTTATTCCTGCCATACTGATGACAGTTGTTCCGTGGAGACTGGTTTCTAGGCTTTATTTGTGTTTCATCTACGAATGTCTACAAACAACCCATGTTAGTTTTTTATATTAAAATGGAGATGTATTTATGTTAACACTAGGAAATGAATCATAGCTATTTGAAGTTTAAAGTCGATGCTGTTATAAAAGATCAAGTCCCTCTCTTGCTGAGTGCTGTACAATTGTTACAGTTTCTAGAAAGGATCATTGTGTGCCCTAAGTATCCCAACATACGTGTTCTGATTCATGAAGCAGAAATGTAAAATGCTTGTTATTACCTTAAGGGGTGTTCATTGACATCATGCCAGTGTTTAAATTGAGCAAACTTAAAACTTTTTAGGTACCACACAAGCCAACCAACCAAGAATCCAAGACAAGTGGCCATTGTCTCAATGAGTACTAATTATTAGTGGAAGCAGAGCATACTGTTCGTCAGCGAACTAAAGAGAGAATGGTAAGTCTCTGTCCTCTGGCTTTAGAAGCTCAAGTCAGAAAATTATATATCAAAAGACCAGCGTGCCTTCAAATATTTCACCATCAAAGAATGGCTTTTGAGCACAGGGAAAACTGACTTGATACAAAATTCCTATTGTAACCATCTATTTAAATAGATTTCACTGTGATCCCCATGACAACAAATATCAACAATTTGCCTTCTCTTACGTAATTTCTTTTTATTCTTATGTTTTCTTCTTCAATCTTTTCCCCCTTTGCCCAAACACTTCTGCAGGCCATGGGCATTTTTTCTTAGCTCTTCACCACACAGTCATTGTGATAAACACATACTGAGTATCTCCAGCAGACCTGCACACGTAACACTTAACTGAAGGCTGTAAGCACATGATTCAAAATAGAAAAGCTTTCACCCTTAACTCCTAGGAACTTATAACTAAACTATAACTAAAGATTCCAGATAGAAATCATTAATAAAAGCTGAAGCAACAGGATACGCTCCAAAGTAAGGCCAGCTTCATAGCAGCAATCGCTTGGTGGTCAGAACATCATGATAGACAAATATTTTAAGAACTCGACAGTGGGAAAGAAAGTCCCCCTGTTACTTGACATGTTGGTGTTCTCTTATGCTCATTATATATCAGACACTGACCTGGATTCTGTAAAATACACCAAGAAGAAAACCCCTTCACAAGCTTCCCGACCACTTGCTTTCTGTCTGTTAGTCCTCTTTTTTTAGTTGCCTGATAAATTCTTGATGATTAGGCATCATGGCAAGTTATTTATATAGGCCAGTGACTCCCAGTGTCCTGGACACAGAGAAGATGCATGAGAGGAGGAAGGAAAAAAGACTTGCAATCCTGTATGAAATTTGAGTAAGCATGCCCTTCCTATCCCAGTCTTTTCAGTTGCCATAAATTTGGCATAATCACCTCTGCAGGAAAATATGTAGACACACACACACACACACACACACACACACACACACTCCTTGATTATACATATACTTAAATTGCATATATTTAAAGAAAGTGAGGGAATTGGGTGTCTGTAATGTGGATCATATTTAATTCGGTTGGAGAAGGGCCCATTGAAAATGTGAGTTATAAGCAAGAGTTGAAAATGATGGAGTGGCCACAGTCTTCTAGAGAGGATGAGGGACACGGTTCCAGGTACTTCTTCTTCATTTCCCTCCTTATCAGTGGAGTTTTTCAATCAACCTAATCTAGCAGAACATTTCTCCTAGGCTACTGAGATATATTTGCAGGAAACAACTTTCCCCTCACCGAAAGAAATAGGTTTAACTCCTTCCTTCCTAGAATTCTATAATTCAGGGGGAAAGTGAGTTTTCCATAAGGCATTTAAAGGAGGAAGGAGCGATGAATCTACGTGGAAAATTAGGTGAAAGAGTGGAAAATTACATTGACCATGTAAGTCCCACTACATATAGATCTATTCCTCCATGAAAAACTGGAAATTTCATTTTAACACGGCACTTGCACAGTCAGCAGCAATTCTTAACGATGTCTTTCTTGCCGTGGACATCATTTTTTTTAACCCCAATAATAGGGGATAATTTGGACCCATTCTGCTTTTCATATAATTCTGTCTATTTCTTACTGCACTTCTCCCACTTCTCTTCTCACATGAGAGATGATTGTATTACTTGTGGAATATGATGAATCACCTCAACAAGAAATATGTAGCATCTGGTTAAGGTTCTTTCTAGCATATAAATTAAGCTTGAATGACAGCTGGGTCAAACATTGTCTTTGAAACGGGCTCCTGTGTGGCAGGTGGAATCAAGTATTCTCACTTTATCGGCAGGAGGCGTTCCTAGGCTAGCTGGTGTCTCTAACCTTTATTAAAGAGAAGTGGGTCACTTTGCCACACCCTGAAAATGATTGAGGCGATGAAAAGAGAGATTTGGGCAAAGGAAATGGAAAGATGCATCTAATAACTATGCTGACATAAGAAATGCCAAGATAATAAAAGGGTACTGGTAACATTAAATAATACAACAGAATACCTACAATATCCAAAGAAAATCACAATAAACAAATAAGCATAGCCATTGTATCAATTTGAGACCCACTGGTATATACGTCCTCCTTTAAAAATTCCCTGGTAGAAAAAGAGACAAGACAAAAGATATTTTTAATCTCTTTTTTAATATTTTTAATTTGCGTAATTTTTTCCCCTTAAGCAAGAAGCTTTTTTTTTTCCTTTTTTCTTTTAAAACTGTTTCATGGAAAAGGCACCATATAAATAATCAAGACTTTCTGAAATGCCTTTACTTTGTAAACTTCACGATTTTTAAACATTTTATTTGTGGTCATAACAATTACTCCTCTATAAGGAAATTCTATTTATTATAAATAGAAGCCAGCAAAGGCACAAAAACATCAAACAAGGGAAGATTCTCCAACATTCCACATGATGGCAGAAGATCTTTTCCTTATTAAATAGTCAAAGCTTACAGGTTTGTATTATTCTATTAAATATAGCAAGATAAGCAATCTCCCATATTCTCTAAGCCATTTTAGAATAATTTGTTCTCAGGACAAACCAGGAGCGATGTGTTTTCCTGTGTGCAAAACAAACAACTTGCTAAAAAATAAAATCGTCCTCAAGTTTTTCTGAATAATATTGAGATTATGAAAACGGCTTTTCAGAATCACACTTAAAATGGGATCTTTTAGACGGCATTTCCCAAATGTCAATAATCATTTTTGTCTCTTTATTGTTATTAATCACAACAAACAAATCCTGTGAATACACTTATAAAACGGGTCACTTAGTAAAATCCCCCTTGCAAACAGAAAGCATCTTTGAGAACCTTTTTTTCAGAGAATCTTTCTCCGATTTGCGATGTGGCTACTGTCCAGCCAGAACTCAGGAAAACAGTGGACCCCTTGCTCCACAACCCTATTTCTAGGCACAGCTAACCCAGAATTCTGCCAGCTTTATGAAATACTGCTATTTCCTGTCTAATGGTGCAAATGTTTTATACATGTGCTGTAAAGTGGAGTTTCTGTACAATTCATAAATACAGCATTTCCTATTATGTCTTTGGGATACCTAGTTGATTGTCTACGTCACTTTTTCTTATTTGTTCTTTTAATTTGCAAATGATGATGAGATAGAGAAATGCATTAATTCTCTTCTTTTTGAACTTCTTAAGTTTAAATATGGTCACTTCCACTATGTGCTGCTAAAGGCAAGCAATGGCACCGTCTACTATACAAAGCTTAGATCATTATCAAAGTTATGTGTGCATTGTAACTTATCTACCTAAGTATGGTATTGGCAAAATACTAAATGTGCAAACCTTAGCCCGATAATGATTTACACTAGTGCCTTCATTTAACTACAAGGAGAAGCCCACCCTAGATATTAATAATACCTTCCATTTTTATTTTGCCTTTAGAGTGTTTACGATTGCCTTACATCCACTATGGCATTTGATTCTGAAATAAACCTTATGTTCTGGCCATCATCATCATTTTACAAATCTTGTAACTGAGAATGCAAAGTTAACTTTTTTAGAATGAGATCATGTCCTTTTCAGGGACATGATTGGAGCTGGAGGCCATTGTCCTTAGGAAACTAAAGCAGGAACGAAAAACCAAATGCCACATGTTCTCACCTAGAAACGGGAGCTAAATGATGAGATCACATGGACACATAGAGGGGAACAACATATGCTGGGGCCTGTCAGAGTGGGGAGGGTGGGAGGAGGGAGAAGCTCAGGAAAAATAACTAATAGGCACTGGGCTTAACGCGTCAGAGATGAAAAAATCTGTACCACAAGCCAACATGGCACAAGTTTACCTATGTATCAAATGTACACATGGACCCCTGAACTTAAAAGTTAAAAATAAATAAGTAAATATAAAAATAAATAACTTTTTAAAAAAGAAGATCATAGAGCTATTTGAAAGGACAGAAATTGAAATCACAAATTCAAGTTCTATTTTTATATCAAGAGGAGAATAACATCATGACTCTAGATAAGAACATACCTAACAATGTTAGCTTTATAGAAACATTTGGCCAAGTTTATCTTCAAAGGACCTCACCATGGGGATGAGGATTATCATGTAATCAACTTGCTCCTCCATTCCAGTATCACCTTCGGGATGACCAAATGCAAGAAAATGGAGACAGAATATCTTTTTCTAAGTGAAGTTTCATTCTGAGAATCTCTGCCTGGGTGACGGTTCTTTTTCTCCATTTTAAGACCACACAAAGTGTCTTACCCGAGACCAGTCAAAATGCAAAACAGGAGTTGCTTTCTGCTGGCATTTTTGTTTGACACCATTGAAATATCCATGTCATGGAATTGTCCATTTCTTTATCAACCCTAGTGTTGATCTTACTGAAATGACATGAAAGCAAGAAGTCAAGGACTCACTGAGGTGAGTCCTTCGGTAACTCCTCTGGGGACCTAAGTGTAGTGTGGAGGCGATCATTTCCAACAGTCACCATGAAAAAGATTTGATGGTATTTTCTCATGATCAATCTGTGTGAAGAATTAAAGAGCTCTGAAGAAAAACAACAACAATCCCCAGTTGTCTACATGGAAACAAAGTATGAATACATGTTAAATAATTATTTCTTATTAGAAAACATCAGCTGCTATGCAGACCTACTCTTATATTGTTTTAATAAAGTGCTAACATAATTTTACAGAAGCAAAATAAAATTAATATTAATAAAGGTCAACATATCTTAGTATTGAAATTATTGAAATTTCAAAAGTAATACCTTTCCTATGTATTCCTATAAAGAGTATGAATGCCAAGAGAGGTTAATCTCACTTATTTATTTGTGTATACTTTAAGGGATGTTTGGAATTCATAAGAGTAATTTGAACAAGCTCTATGTTCTCAAACACTTTTAGGGTTTGTTTGTTTGAATTAACTAAAGAAGTTCCTTCCTATGTTGGTTCTAGATTTTTAAAACTAGAAATTCATAAAAGTTCATTAAGTTTCCAGTCCAACTAAGATTTTCTGTTCAGGGAAATATAGCCAGAATCACGGAGACTTACTCAGAATCCCACAGTGTTAAAGACAGAACTGAGGCTAGAATCAAATTCCCTTGACCCTAGTCAAATTATTTTATTACTGTATTATTTCATACATATTTCCAGGTTTATAACCTATGGGTTGTTTGTCAAAATATTATATAGATTTTTATAACTAGATTTGTAACACTCAGGAAAGTTTATGGATAAACAAACAAAAACAAAGAGAACAAAAACATCACCATTAGAACACAAGTTTCTGTCTGAAATACTAACACTTGATTATTCTTTCCAGACATTGATTGTCAAGAAAAACACAAGAATTCAAGTAAGAAAATGAGAGGTACGGTATATTGAACTTTTTTCTCAATCCAGAAATCAGCTACCATAAGTAATTCTAGCTCTTATTTCTATAGCATCTCCTGAAAAGAATAAAATCATGACTCTAGATAAGAATATATCTAAATACTAATTTTAGTTTTATGGAAACATTTGGACAAGTTTATAAAAATCTATATAATATTCCGGTAAGCAACCTTACCGGAATATCCCATAATTAGCTTTTTCTCTCATTGAGCAGAGAAGTACAATTTATGTATGGAAATAGGGGAGACCCTGTCTCCATCACTGTTTTTGAGATTACAGAATTTAGCCAAATTGGATGACTTCAAACTCTTAATGGGAGTTTTCTAGTTAAGTAGCAAAGAGGTCTCAAGGAAGCCTCTTTGATTTGTGTCTCATAGCAGCAAACACTTCCAACAACCCTGCACAGTCATCTGTTTTACAGGTGAGGAAAGTGAATCAGAAAGTTTAAGTAACGTGCACAAGATCACTTACATAGCTGGAGTTTATTGCAGGGAAAGCTGTATGTCTAATTCCAAAATAGTTCATGTCCTGTTTACTAAATTAGCATGCATTAAGATAAGATTATTCTCTGACAGTGTCCTTCAGGTTTGATTTTTAAGTATAATATCATAAATAATTTGAATAATTTTATTTTGAGCTAAATATACTTTTCTGTACTTAAAATCAGAGACCTATAAGAATACCCTGATTAATTATAAAATGCACCTTGGATACTTCATTTTTCTCTTTATCCTCTATGTCATTCAGACATTGCCTTATCATATGAATTTATTACTGGAATACAAGAGTACAGATAAAAGAAACTATCGTGTCCTGTGATCATTTAAATTGTACAGTTTGGAACTTTTTCCAGCTATATATTTTTGGGCCTATTTACTAAAATTACATGCTTCAGATATTTGGTAATTTGATGCATGGTACTAATAACGGATTTTAACTTTTTAAAAATTATTTAAACAAATTTGACATATTTAAATCAAGATGTCCCCAAAGAATAAAGAAGGCAATTGTTACTCAATTTTAAGCAATTTTTTTAAAAGAATTTTCAATTTATTGAAAATAAATAAAATTTATTTATCTTTCTGGGTCACTAGTAAATTTGAGGTATAATTAGATTTATAAAACTGCAATGCTTTATTTTGTGTATCTTTGCATAAAGGAAAGTGCAACTGTATCTTTCCTGATAATATTCATTTTAAAAATGCCTATGTTATGGTTACAAATTTGGGTTGATGTTCCATTGCATTCTCTATGCTGAACTTAGATCCTTTTAATGCAACGGATATTTATTGAGCTACAATGGTATAGAAACACAAAAAGAGAAGAGAAAGAAAGTAGCAGAGAGGAAAGGAGAGCAGATGGGCAAGGGGATGGGAGGGGAAAGTGGAGGAGAGGAAAGGAGAGAATAAAGAAGGAGGGAAGAAAGGGGGAAGGGAGAGGAAAAGAAAGAGAAAAATGGAAAGATTGATGGGATTTTGCTTTTAGATTCACTTGGTGTGTAGTCCCTAAACGTGTTATATATCACATTTATTTAGGTGAATTTGCCATTATTTTGGTATTATTAACTAAAAGGAGCAAGTGTTACAATCATTGAAGTGGCAGTAAACATTATTAGCAGATGCATTTCCCAAGTCATACCTCTGAACAACAATCTTGTGCATGATCATAAAATTAATGACTTTCATACACCCACAGGTCCTGACCAAGCAGGGACTTTGAAAGCAAGTAGAGCTCCTGTCTTTAATGCAAGAAGGTAATATTATATCAATATTAAAGAAAATTCAACTAAGAGACAATGCATGTAAGTAGCTTTCATAAGATCCCAATAACTCTCTTCAAACTCTGACTTGGTCGATATGAATGGAGAGGGAGTCCATGTCCACACACTACAGGTTTTCATTTAAGTGAAAGTCCACAGAAGCATGGATCTGCAGCATGATTTAAGTCTCCTGATTTGCAGAGGAGTTCTGATGTGTTTTATTACATGTCAAAATTGCATAGAATGAGACATAAGACTAAGGTTTCTTGATTTTCATTTGGGCGCTTTTCTCCTTACTCCATACAAAAATTTGAAAGGGGATTTAAACAGGGGAAAGGGCAGTAGTGTGAATGGGTTGGCTGTTGAGTTTCATATCTCTGAATATAATGATTACTCTGATTTGTCTACTCTATTTATGAACCATTCTCTTTTTAGTTATTATTTTCTGTCTGAGTTCTGTTTTTCAAACCAGAATAAGGACTGAGAATTAAATCAACTTGAATTACCCCAGTAACTGACACAATACTTTGTACATTAAAGATGTTTAATATGAGCTTTATTAATTACCTTTTTAAAAAGCCATTACATATATTAAAGTTAGAATAAATTATTCAAGTCTCAAAATATGTATAATCAGTATTTTATTTAAAATATTAAAATAATTACAAGGAATTATATAAAAATCAAGAGATTTTGCTTAACAAAGTCATTTGCAAAAGAATTCTACCCATGCTTGAAATTCTTCACCTACATATTTCTAAGCATTTTTTATTATTCACTTTTACCATAGGAAACAATGTACTACATTAGAAAATAAATGGCACTTAGTAATATACTATCTAAAACTCTCAATAATTTTTCAGAAAAACTTATTCAAATTAAAATGTTTACTCTTTATAAGCAATATTTTTTACAATTTTTTAATTAAAATTATTTTAAAATGCATCATATATTACTTGATTTTTTTTAAATACAGAGTTTCACTCTAGTTGCCCAGTGTGGAATGCAATGGCATGAACTTGGCTCACCCCAACCTCCACCTCCTAGGTTCAAGCAATTCTCCTGCCTCAGCCTCCTAAGTAGCTGGGATTACAGGCCTGTGCCACCACACCCAGATAATTTTGTATTTTTAGTAGAGACAGGGTTTCTCCATGTTGGTCAGGCTAGTCTCAAACTCCAAACCTCAAGTGATCCGCCCTCCTTGGCCTCCCAAAGTTCTGGGATTACAGGCGTGAGTCACCGCACCCGGCCTGCTTGATCTTCTAAAACAGCATACAGAAAAGAATTTAGCATTTTTGCTACAAGGCTCGGAAGATTTCATTATTCTTTTTTTTTTTTTTCTTTTTATAATTATTTCTCTTCCCTTGAACTAAAATGTCAGCTATCACTTGCTGTCAGTATGTGGCTACCTCCCCATAGATTTTGACTGATACTACGTCTTGCTAACAGCACACAAGCTCAAGTCATTATCACCTTTCGAAACTGCCCCTTAGTGCTGCCCAGTTTCGAATAACACAATTTTCTTCACTTTTCCCAAACTTTCCAACTTCCCAATTTCCTTCAGCCAGTAAACCCTACCTCCCTGTCCTACCACAAGTTGATTGATAGAATGGCTACTACCCACTTAAACATTTCCTCAACTCTGCTGTGATGTAGCTGGTTGGCAAAGGGCTAATGGAGTGGATTTTTTGCTTCCCTGGAAGATTTATAAATTCATAGTCAATACATCATATAGGGTGCAAGGTGTGAATCAAATTCACCTTTTTGGCATATCTAACTAACTGTTCAGTGCCATTTATTGAAAGACTCTTCTTTTTCACTAAATTAATTTTACACCGTGGTCAAAAGTCAGATATCTCTGTATGTATGGCTCAATTTCTTGGCTTTCTACTCTGCTTCACAAGCAAGCAGTTTGACAGTATATCAGGATGGAGGTAGTCAGTTATTTTAATGAATATAATAGTATCCCACAAACTCAAAGCAGCGGTTCCTTTCTCACACAGGTAATTCCAATAAACTTGTTTTGAAGCACTGCCTTTAATTACTGGCTCCAGGGTCTGAATTTTTAGAAGTTATTTATTTATATATTAAGTGCTTAATATTGCTAACACCCAGGGCTTCCTTTAACACACACGAGTATCCTCTTCATCTCTCCTCTAGACACAAGTATAGAAACTCATGTCTAGAGAGGGAATTGTGGGAATTTTAACTGCAGGTAAATGCTTATGTTCTTTCAATTCCTTTATGGTGCAGCACAAGATAAAGATGAATATTTCAGTGCAATTGAGAGCTGAAAAGAAATTTGAAATAACATTGTTAAACATGTAACAGACCATGATTAAACATTAGAATCTCAAAATGATGTTTCAAGATGTATAGGCTTTGGAAAATCATTTCCAATGATGCTCTGAAGACTACCTTTCCTAAGGTAAATCCAGTCAGATTCCATACATAGTTTACATAAATATTATTATGTACATATCTTATAACTTATTGCATATCTATTAATTCAGCATGCATTTGAACATGCATTTAACAGTAACCCTCAAATTTGATTAATTCAACGATTATTAAATATAACGAAAATCTAGAAAAATTTTATCCAGCACTAAATATAAATTTAAAGTTTAGATGACAAATTTTATACCGAATAATACATAGCTTTCCATTTTCCTCAAATTTCAGGTTTAGTCTTCTATTTCTATAAAACTTTGAAGTTTTATAGGTGTCTTGGGAAAAGCATTGTACTTTAAATGTATCATGTAAAAATAGGCATACAATATTAGACCACAAGATATCAGAGACATAAAGATTTTTACAGTAATATGCTTTACAGATGAAAGCACTGGTGACCAGGATCATTAATTGACTAGATGAAGGATACAGACAGTTAATAAATTGATAGAACTGGTAGCCACACCTCCACACCAATATTGTTTCCCCTTCAAATGAAGGCAATAAAGAACTAATTAGAGATTAGGTTGTTACCAATCTCTACAATCTCAAATGACGCTGTTTAACACTTAGGATTGTAGAGATTGGTAACACCCTCAAGAAGATTCGCAGGAAAGAAAAGACAATGTACACTTGAGGATGGAACCTATAGGTTCAATATTATGTGTTTGGGAAAGTGCTGCAAGTCAAAGTGAATTTAGTTAATGGAAGAAGAAGCAAAGGAAGAGGAAGAGGGAGAAGTCGAAGGTTGTGGGAAAAATTAAAATCAAGATCTCTTTGGATTGAGGCCACCAGTGAAAGACCAGGAAGTGGGGGCACCTGAGATCACGCTTGAAAATGGAAATTTGAAATCTGAGAGTAGAGAAGGAAAACCAACAAGGAAAACATTTGTGCCAGGGAAACTAACAAGTGTACAGATGAAGAGGCAAGAAAGTTATGGCAAATTACCCTGCTTCTTTTTGCCACACTGCCTTCTCGCTGACATCTTCGTTCCCCGGCAACCTTACGCTTTGATGATGGATGACTTGCTCTGCTTCTAAGGAACTACTGCACTTGGCCTATGGCACAAGGCGCTTCCTCCAGGCAACATTTGCATCTTGGGAGGGGGCTATTTTTGCATGCATCTAGTCCATTGCAATCATTTGTGCTTGAGGGGGAAGATAGAAACTTTGTTTTATTATCTGCACTCATGAAAAACAAGTTTCATGCACCATTCCGAACACTTTTCTTTTTTCTACTTTTATTTTAGTAAAGGTGGGGAAAGCTTCTAGTGAAAGTCATCCACATCTCAACTCTGGTAACATTAACATTATGGCCTGGCTACTTTCCAGCATCACCCTGATAGAAAAAAAGCACCCTCCAATTTAATAACTAAATTAATTTTTCCTCCCTCCACAGCATGTGCAATTATTAAACTCAGAAAGATCTTGGCAGCCTCTTGCACTGGTAAATAAAACGTTGCATTCTCATCATATGATTAATTAATGTTCCTGATTCAAGGAGATATGAAATCGCTTTACATGCCTTGTGTTATTGAATAACCCAATGTGCATTATTACTCAGGCACTTTTTATATTTATGCAGTTAAATTGCAAGAAATAAACCACAAAGGCCTAACATTATTCTGCAGTACTATGTGAGTTACAGAAAATTAAACTCGAGGAGATGCCTGAAAGGGGAAGAAGGAGAAAGGCAACAGGAGAGGAAAAAATAAAAAGAAATGGGGGAAAAAATTAGACTTAACTGATCGACTGCGTTCAGGAATCAGTTTGACTTCTTTCTCGCCCATGGTTTGCAAACTAATTTAGCAATTTCTCAATGACTTATTTCCTTATTCACAAGTCAGGAATAATAGAAAAATAAACATACAACAATCAAGAAACCTACCTGTGTGATCCTGAGATGTTACAACTTTTTGGTCCCTATATCAACAGCCAGAAAGTGGTTTTCTTTGGGTTTCCAATAACATAAACAATTCTCCAGGTCCAAGTGAGTATAAACGGGGTGCTTTGTTAGATTAAACACAGACATTATGGAACACAGTGTATTATTCATCACTCACTTGCGGAATATTCTGAACTCAGTAAGGAAGGGGGACATCATGCCTTCAAATACGTTGTCTCAAATGTTTTAAAAAACAAAACAAATTACAACAAAAATGACAATTTTATGCCACTTTGCTTGCCTTTCTCTTCAAGTTCAGAATTGAATTGTTATGGTTATGTATTCCTTCCAAAAGGAGCAAATCACTTTCTTACGGATAACCAACATAGCAAGTCATTCAAATAGAAAACTATGATGGCACATGCCTGTAATCCCAGCCACTCGGGAGGCTGAGGCAGAAGAATCTCTGGAACCCAGGAGGCAGAGGCTGCAGTGAGCCAAGATCATGCCATGCACTCCAGCCTGGCTGGGTGACAGAGAAGACAGAAGGAAAGAAAGAAAGAAAAAGAAGAAAGAGAGACAGAAGGAGAAAGAGAGAAAGAAAGAGGAAGGAAGGAAGGAAGAAAGGAAAGAAGGAAGGGAGGGAGGGAGGGAGGGAAGGAAAAAAGGAAGGAAAACAATCTATCCCGGTTTTCTGAGAAACCCACTGATTGTCTCCCTCATTAGGGAGTTGGGATTTCATCCCTTCAGACTTGAGGGACATTTATGTGTTCAAGAGCCGGGCTGGGTCCACCAATGAAGAACTCATCAGACCCAGGAGCCATTTCATCACATCAGATGACAAACTGCCCCTACGGAAGATTAGTAGAGAAAGAAATTCAAGGAGAATGACAAATCATCTTGCAAACAGAAACTGAAAAAAACATCTACAAAATAGACTGGAAAGAGTAACCAATATGTGTAATGTTAAATAAAAAAAATGCATTTATCTGTTTTTAAAGCACTTTCCTTGTCCATCTTCAATATAATATGCAACATACGGTCACTTTAATTTTGCTTTTTACCAAATAGAGATGCTTTCAAAAGAAAGAAAAACCCATATGTAAGTAATATGAAAGAAATAGACCCTGTCACTCCTGAATAATCCAGGAACCTGCTGGAAAGATTTTCAGAAT